AGAAAGACAGGTTCAGGGGTTAGCTGCTGGCCATTGTTCCCTTGTAAGTTTCATGGGGTCCCTTAGAGGTTGGGGGGTACGTGCCTGTGGGGCAATGGCACTGGCAAGCTCTTTGGTGGGGGAGGGTGCACTGAGTCCTATGTCCTTTCTTTCTTTCTTTCTTTCTTTCTTTCTTTCTTTCTTTCTTTCTTTCTTTCTTTCTTTCTTTCTCTCTCTCTCTCTCTCTCTCTCTCTCTCTCTCTCTCTCTCTCTCTCCCTCCCTCCCTCCCTCCCTCCCTCCCTCCCTCTCTCTCTCTCTCTCCCTCCCTCCCTCCCTCCCTCCCTCCCTTCCTTCCTTCCTTTCAGTATATTTTATTGATTTTTTTACAGAGAGAGAGAGGGATAGAGAGTTAGAAACATCGATGAGAGTGTGCCTCCTGCACACTCCCTACTGGGTATATGCCCACAACTAAGGCACATGCCCTTGACCAAAAGCAAATTTGGGACCTTGAGTCTGCAGACTGATGCTCTATCCACTAAGCCAAACCGGTTAGAGCTATTTGTCTCTTTCTTGCAAGTGGAAATCTTAGAGGAGGTTTCAGGAGATTGTCTCAATAGAATATTGATCAGCTTTTTAGATATTCTCTTTTAGGGTTGTGGTCTCCACTGATTGGTCAATGCCAGGACAGGGGGTCCTGAGGCAGCAACGACATCACTTGTCTGGTTTTGCTGCTTTTCTGGGCCTGGAGCTGAAATACAATGGAGGCCTACATGTTATCTTTAGGGAGGAAAAGGTCAGGGGTCTAAACCATCTGACTGGTGATATGAAAGATCAGGAGTCCAAACTACGTGACCAGTATATGCTAGGGCAGTGGTCAGCAAACTGCGGCTTGCGAACCATGGTTTGCCGCTCTGTTAACTAATGAGTTTGCCAACCACAGCCTTAGGGAAAAATATTTAAAAAACATTTTAATAATGTACTAATGTCTTTAACCTGAAGTCAAAACTTCTGGGTAAGGGTAATGTCTTAGCAGTGGTTGGCAAACTCATTAGTCAACAGAGCAGCAAACCGCAGCTTGTGAGCCGCAGTTTACTCACCACTGTGCTAGGGGAAAATAGATTACCCTGAAGGTGAGGTTCTTGTTTTCCCAGTTTTGCCCTTTGCTAGGCATCTGGAACTTTCTGCCCTGGTGAGTTTCTGTACTTAGCCCATCGTCCTTGCTCTGTTCATGTCTAACAGCTGGCATTTCCCAAATTTACTAATGATTTTCTTTTTGTTAAATCCAATGGGTATTTGATCCTCCTCTACAATTTGATATTGTTGACTAATTTTTTCTTGAATTTTCTCTCTTGGTCATTGGGACTCCACTATAATAGTGTTTTGTTTTGTTTTGTTTTTCTCACCCTCATTTCCTTTCTGTGCTTTTCTTGGTCAGTTTTGCTCAATTATAGTCACTGATATTCTCTTATTTTGCAACTTCCCATGCTAATCTTAAGCCACTGTAGTTTTCAATTATTTGGTAACTGAAAACATTCAAAAAAAATTTTTTTTAATATATTTTATTTATTTTGTACAGAGAGGAAGGGAGAGAGATAGAGAGAAACATCAATGAGAGAGAATCATCGATCAGCTGCCTCTTGCACACCCCCTACCGGGGATATGCCCGCAACCAAGGTACATGCCCTTGACCGGAATCGAACCCGGGTCCCTTCTGTCCCCAAGCCAACGCTCTATCCATTGAGCCAAACCGGTTTCGGCTCAAAATTTATTTTAAGCCGACACTTCAATCCTTTGCCTACTTAGCTATTTGTTAGCATTATTTAATACAACATTGATTTATAATGTGCATGTTTTCTTTATTTTAGGATGTTTACTCCTAAATCACTATTCCAGTCCATATCTCATCTTGTATTTAGGTAGCTACTTCAATATCCCAACCTAAAATCCAATATATTTAAAACAGTGCTCTTTAGCTCCACCATCCCCCAAATAAAGCAAAACTAAACAAAATCCTGCCCCTCATTCTATATTTTCTTTTTTCCTGAATTATCTACAAAGGTGATCAAGCCAGAAACATATGTACCATCTGCTATTCATTCTCTATCAACAATCTAGTCACCACATAGGGCAGTTCTAGCACATTAATATCTAGCTTACACTTTAATAGCTGAATAGGGACTCACAATCTAAGCCTCCTAACTTAGCACTTATTCACCTCAATTTTATTTTCTGTATAATTTGTACAGTAATGAGTCTGGATAGAAATCACTGAATTTCAACTTCCATCCTTGCCAATGATACACATACAAAAATGATGCTGGAGGTGGGCAGGGAGGAGAGGAAGGGCAGAAGGTAATAGTTAAAATCAATTTTTAAAGGTTATAGATTCCTTAGTGTCATCTCTGAAATCCCACCAACCAAGCCAAAATTTTTTATTACATTTGTTTGATCCCTTATTTAAACGGTTTTACTGGATATTTTCCATCTGTTAATCTCCCCGAAAGAGACTGAATTGCCTTGTCATAAACTCATGTCAATGGATTTTACACTGGATAAACATTGTAGGGGACCAAGGTTTTAGGATGCTCTGAGAAAACAGGATGGGAAAGATTTGCTCCAACTGAGGAATAATCCATTTTGGTCATTCCACTTTTAGTTTATTAATAGGATAAGGAAACATTATAAATCAATGTTGTATTGAATAATGCTAACAAATAGCTAAATAGGCAAAGGGTTGAAGTGTTGGCTTAAAATAAATTTTGAATGTTTTCAGTTACCAAATTTTTGGAGGCAAAGGGGAAAGACATCTGGACCCAAACATCTACTTTATTTGGGATTGTTTTCATTTCTTTTCTTTCTTTTATTATTTATTTACTTATTTAATCTTCACCAGAGGATATTTTTACTGGACTTAGAGAGAGAAGAAGGGACAGAGATAAAGAGAGAAGCATCAGTTGTCTTCCATATGTGCCCTGACCAGGCATGGAGCTCACAACCCAGGTGTGTGCCTTGATAGGGAATCGAACCCGTAACCTTTTTGGTGCATGGGAGGAAGCTCAACCAACTGAGCCACCCAGCTGGGTGAGACTCTCATTTTATTTTGCAAACCTTTTTTTTGTTGAAAGTATACATAGATCCTCCCTTTCTCCCATTAGAGACTTTTTCCTTAAAAAAAATAAAAGGTTGCAGATTAGGAAGTCATCTGCTGTCCAGCATATATATATTTATAACATCAAACAAAACCTGGACTTTTCTCTCTTACTTAGTGAAAATGCTGTTTGCATTCTCAAACATGCTGGATATATTGCTTAAATACTTATGAACACTAACTGTCCCAAGAGACTCAGCAATTGAGCAGGTCTTTGCATCTCTGGTATCGCAGCTTCCTGTAAAATTAGAAAGCCAGACTCAACACCCTCTAGGATCCCTTCCAGATCCTCCAACCTGAGGCTGTTTATTTCAATTGTCCCCAAATGAGGCCATGACACGGATCCATGCTGGTGCTCCAGCCGGCTTGCTAGAGCTGTGAGACTGCTTCCCCAAGCAGGAGACACCTGAGCAGCCTCACACACTCCCCACAGCAGGGTCAGGAAGCCCCCACTTCCGAAGGAAAGACACCACCTGTCTCACCATCCCCACACCATTCCCACACCATCCCCACACCACCCCACCACCCCCACACCATCCCCGCACCATTCCTGCACCATCCCCACACCATTCCCGCACCATCCCCACACCACCCCCACACCATCCCTACACCACCCCCACACCATTCCTACACCACCCCCACACCATCCCTACACCACCCCCACACCATCCCCACACCACCCCCACACCATTCCTACACCATCTCTACACCATCCCCACATCATCCCTACACCCCCCCCACACCATTCCTACACCATCCCTACACCACCCCCACACCATTCCTACACCATCCCTACACCATCCCCACACCATCCCCGCACCATTCCTACACCATCCCTACACCACCCCCACACCATTCCTACACCATCCCTTACACTAGGGGTGTCGAATTCAATCAGAGAAGGGGCCAAAATCTAAAATCCAGCCTAAATCGCGGGCCGAATGGTTTACTGAACAGTCATAAACTGTCACTGTGATGGAAACGCAGCGGAGTGCAGTGATGACAGCGCGGTGCGGGCCACATTGCAAGGCCTGGCGGGACGGATTTGGCCCACGGGCCTTGTGTTTGACACAGGTGCCTTACACCATCCCCACACCATCCCCACACCACCCCCACACCATTCCCACACCATTCCCACTTTGGAACAATCAAATGCTCAGAAAACATACATAACAATCTTCACTGATGCTGAGACTATGAGATGATGCTCACCCCACCCCCCCTTTTTTTAAACCATGCTCCCAGGGTTCCCACTTAGAACCCCAAGTCTCTCTCCCTCCGCCCTAGGATCAAACCCTAAGTCCCTACGTTTACTTAGGTATTGAGTTTACTGGGGTGACATTGGTTAATAAAATTAGGTGTCAGGTGTTCCATCCTATCCTATATCCTCTGTCAGTGCTGGGACTGTGCAGAACGCATTTTGCGCAAAGGCTACCTGCACATTCCACAGTGAGACGTGGGTGCCATGCGCATCCTCCAGCATCTCTGCCTCCCCCAGCCCTGATCGCAGTCCCAGAAGCCCGTGGCCGGATAGCGCTCCTGGGCACACAGGTGGACAGCAGGCCGGGTCCCAGCTGCCAGGACGGGACGGGCTCTGGCTCCTGTGAACCCGGAGGCCCGGGCCCGGGCGTTACCGGGTCCGCAGTGACCCGGCCCTGCGCAGCCGGGGTCCCAGCCCGGCCGCCCGGGGCGTTCCCGGCGCCGCCGGCCGTGGCCCCGCCCCCTCACCTTGGCGGCCCCGCCCCCTCACCTTGGCGGCGCCGCATTCCGCCGCTCTAGGTGCCTGCGGCGCTCGCTGATTGGCCGCGGCCCGGCGCCGCCCCGCTGCCATTGGCTGCCCGCGCCTCTTTGTTCCCGGCTCCGCGGGAGGCGGCGGTGCGGAAGTTGGACGGTGCCGCGTCCCCGCAGTCCCCCCGACCTCCTCCCCGCGGCCGGCGGCCGGGCGGACCCGTGCTGAGCGCCTGGGCGGGCGCAGGACCCCGAACCCCGACATGGAGCTGGAGGCCAAAGTGAAGAAGGTAGGGCGGGGGGCGGGCGCCCCACACCTGGCCGCGGGCGGGGTGGGGCCCGGGCCTGGGGCCCAGGTACCTGCCCCGGGGTACAGGGGATGCCCGGCCGCCCCTGAAATCGCGGCTCCCCCGCCCCTCCCTACCCTCCCCCCCCCCCTCCCCCCGGTCTGACGGCGTGGCGGCCGTGGCTGGAAGTATTTGAAACTTTCCTGAGCGGTGTCAGCTGCGCCGCCAGAGAGAAATGGGGGAGCGGAGGGGCTCGTCCGGAGACACCCCGACACCCCTTCTTCCGGCCTCGGGAAGTTCAGGTGGCCTCTGCGGCTTAGATATCGGGGTGCCTGGACCGCCAGCCCGCCCCGCCCAGCGAGGCTGCGGGGGGCTCCCCGGAGTGAGTGCGGATTCAAGGCGCTGGCTTCCCACCGAGGGGGTGACACCCCGAAAAGCGATTATTGTGGGGTGTGTGTGTGTGTGTGTATGTGTGTGTGTGTATGTATGGTCATTCATTTCTTGACTCCCGAAGCTCTGCCTCCCTCCTGGGAAGTTATCTGTTAAAAAGAACACGTCCTCCCTCTGGGCAGCGAGCCCCAAAGGCGGTGGTCACGGTGCTCTCGGCGCCCAGAGAGGATGCCCGCAGGGACCCCAGGCACCACCCCTTTTGCGGGAGCCTCGCCTCTGTCTCCTGGGAGAAGAGGATGGGGTCCAGGCTGTGACTCATAAGGGAAAGCTGATGTCACATTCCGGTGGCATGATCCCTGTGTGTCAGGTCAGGTTCCAAGGAATTGCTCATGTGTACGTTGCCATAAAGTGAAGCCAGCTGCCCCTTATCAAATAGGGAAGGAAGTTTTGCAGAGAGAGAACAGGACCTAATGGTCTTCTCCTGCCCACTCTGCTAGCTATTACTGTATCTTCTAAAGACACAGTCCTGACCTGAGCGTGAATTCTGTTCATGCCACCAAATTGGATTTTTGAAAAGGTATGAAAGTTCAGATATTAGGTTAGGAAGGAAGCCTGTGAAAATCTTGGCAGTGGTAAAACAGTGCGTCCCTTATGGGAACCAGCATTCCAAGGCACCCCAAGGACTGGAAAAGAAAATGTAAATTATGCGAGTAGTGCGATTGCCTTCCAATCTTTTCCCACTTGGTTTCTTAGTTCTCTTATTTGCTTTTAAATGACACTCATGTTTTGTTGTCGTTGATATTGCTTGCCACTAAGAAAGCATTTTGGTTGCTGCTTAGTTAACCTTGTGCTGAGGGACATTGTTTTTTAAATGGGTACCAGTTACTTAATTGACTATTTGTCTAAAGTTTGGAGGGGTCTTTAATGCTTATAAATATTGATTCAAAACTACTTTTAGAAGTCCATATTCTTTGGCGAGGGAGGGCTGACTAGCAAAGAGAGGTTTTTTATTAGGCCAGTGAAGTTGTTTTGTTCGTTACTGTAATGGTGGCTACATGTCATTATATATTTGTCAAGACCCATAGAATGAAAAACGCCAACAATGAACACTGATAAAAACTGGACTTTGGGGGATAATGATGCGTCCAGGTAGGTTCGTTTGTGACAAATACACCACTGTGGTGGGGTGTTGGTACTGGAGGAAGTTGTGTGTGAGACAGATGTATGGGAACTCTGTTTTCTGCTCAGTTTTGCTGTGAACCTAACACTGCTCTGAAAAATAAAGTCTACTTAAGAAAAGACAGGCATGCCAAAACCGGTTTGGCTCAATGGATAGAGCATCGGCCTGCGGACTGGAAGGTCCCAGGTTCGATTCCTGTTAAGGGCATGTACCTTGGTTGCGGGCACGTCCCCAGTGGGGGGTGTGCAGGAGGCAGCTGATCCATGATTCTCTCTCATTGATGTTTCTAACTCTATCACTCTCTCTTCCTCTCTGAAAAATCAGTAGGAATGTATTTAAAAAAAAAAAAAAAAAGACAGTCAACATCTAAAATGATTTGGAAGATATTTGAATATGGTGATGAAAGAAGATTTGACTTTGACTGGTGGGCACACAATACAGTATACAGATGATGTAATATAGAAATATACACGTGAAACCTATATAATTTTATTAACCAATGTCATCCCAATAAAATCAATTTTTAAAAAGAAAAAAAAAGTACTTGAGACAAAGAAGAAATATTTTCAAGGAAGAAAATTCAAAGTTAAGAATTAACTTTATGCTTGCAAGAGAAAAAGGCTGACATTATTTATCAACCATTTCCTTAGTTTTAAAATGTGGGTTATGATGAATAATGCCCTTGAGATATGGTGTAATTATTTTCCTTCATCGTCCCTTTACTTTTTAAAAGGTTATCTTTTCAACCAAAGTCTCTCTAATTTTCCTCCTTTCCTTCCCTAAGAAAAAGGATCATAAATGTAAAACTTTTATAAATAATTTCATGACAATAACAAGTCCTTTTTTCACTACCTTGTCCTCAATCAGTCAATTGGAAACTATTAAAAGATCCCAAACATGTCCAATTAGACTGCTAACTATACCGCCTCTGTGGCTTTGTAGGACTCTTGAAAGAACTGATGTTCTGTGGGTTCCACAAAAAGTTTCCCAGTCCAAAGGTTAGACATTCCAGGAATAGACTTTATAGTCTTAGTCATACTCTAAAAACAAATAAAAAAAAAAAAGCCCTTTCATTCCCTTTATAAATTGTTTTTTAACTCTAACACATCAGAAGAAGGACTCATTACAAGATTATCTCTGATCTACTGGCAAAGCCCTCTCACCCTATTTTGGTACCTAGGTAGTGTTCAGGTCCCTTTTTCACTTGGGTAAACAAGAACAGTAACAGTTTGCCTGTAACTTTTAAAAAGCCAGGTCAGAGGTTGGAGCAAAGACACAACCAACTATTTAAATAAAACTAAATTTGACTTCTGTTTTAAGATATGTGGCATTTCCCCCTTCTAAAACCCTTATATGATTTTTTCATAAGGAATTTCCCCCAGGTAGATGAAAGATGTTATTTTTTCCCATTAACATTTTGTATAAGAATTAAAGAGGGTTATCTTTATTCCACCACAAATGAAGTGAATGCTCCTATTTTTAGGATTCTTGGTTTATAAAAGGAGAAGTTGGCTTCCATTTATCATTTGCACACATTAGGGTTAATTACAAGGTAAAACCCCCCATCACAAAGACAAGGGGTTTTCACAATTAGATTTTACTATGTTTTGTTTTGTTTGAAGTAATTGAGTTGTTGCTAGGATGTGGGAGCTAGTTTGGTTATGCAAGAGTTTTTGTTTTAATATTTTAGAGAAGAATTTGACCTTTACATCTCTGCACTATCTTCTGATTTGTACATTTATATTTCCTCCTTATGTCTCAGTCTCTTCATTATAACTGGCTTTGTATAAGTAGAGCCTGTGTGTACTTGGAGAAAAACAATGGCTTTGGAAAGCAGGACAGTCTCATTTTGGGGTGAATGGTAAAGCATGGCCCACAGCCAGCTCTTTTCCTCTTTCCTGTCTGTTACTCTCCCATGAAAATCACTTTTTTCTTTTCTTTAAAAACATATCAGAGAGAAAGAGAACCATGCTAAACGGAAACAGAACTCCAGTAATTCCCATATGGTGTCTGAAATTGCTGCAAGGATTTTAATTTTGTACCTTATTTATTCTGCCTTTGAACTTCTGTTCTTGTATTTCTTTCTAATACTCTTCTTTGTTTATTTTATTTTATTTTTTTATTTTATTTTATTTTATTTTATTTTATTTTAAAAAGATGAGATGCATCCTGGCCAGATGGCTCATCTGGTTAGAAAGGTGGGTTTGATTCCCGATCAGGGCACATACTGAGGTGACATGTTCTATCCTGGTTGGCCATATTGGGAGGCAACTGATCAATATTTCTCTCTCACATCAATATTTTTCCCTTGTTCTCCCTCTCACTTTCTCCCTAAAATTAATTTTAAAAGACAACGTATTATTGGTGAGGATTTAAAAAAAAAGATGAGATGCATTTTAAAGATTGTAGGTCACTAAAAATCCCCTTTCTTAGCATCCAAACTTGTTTTAAAAGCTTTTGTTATTAAAAACAAACAACAACAACAACAAAAAAAATCAAAACAAACTCACAGTGAAACCAATTGGAAAAAGTATTGAGCCACAGATATTATTTCTGTTAGAAATTAGAATGAGTATTTTCTTTTAGGTGGCTCCTGATTGAAATGGAAAATGCAAGTAAATACAATAGTGACTTTATAATCAAATCTGTAGTTGGGTTTCTGCTTGAAGCCTGTCTTACTGCAAGAATCATTGGCAAGGCGAGGGAGAATGGAGGGCAGGGCCAGGTACTTCCAGGGCTTTGCCTTGAGGCATTTACTCTGTCTTTGAGAACTAGCACAATAGGAAGTGAAGTAAAAGTAAAGTGAAGTAAAAATCTACAAAAACTCACTACCTTTGGAAGCAGTGCTGTGGAAGTATTTCATGTTTCTGTCATACTCAGTATATATCTATAAAAATTGGTTGAATCCAGGTATTATTACCTTTATTTTAGATAATAGAGGCCTGGTGCCCAGCCTGCACCCTTTCCAATCTGGGACCCCTCAGGGGGATGTCTGACTGCTGGTTTAGGCCCAATCCCTCTCACAATCCAGGACTGCTGTTTTACAGTCCAGGACTACTGGCTCCCAACCGCTCACCTGATTGCCTGCCTGATTACCCCTACCTACTCTATCTGCCAGCCTGATCACCCCCTATCTACTCCCCCACCAGCCTGTTGGACACTAAACTGCTCCTCTGCTGGCCAGATCACCCCAAACTGCCCTCCCCTTCAGGCCTGGTTGACCCAACTGCCCTCCCTTGCAGGCCTGGTCACCCCCAACTGCCCTCTCCTGCTGGTCTGATCGCCCACAACTGTCCTCCCCTGCCAGCCATCTTATGGTGACCATCTTTGACCACATGGGGGCAGCCATCTTATACGAGGGTGTGATGGTCAATTTGCATATCACAGCTTTATTATATAGGATATTAAAAAGGGATAAGAGCATAATTTAAGG